TCTATCTATCTATCTATCTATCTATCTATCTATCTATCTATCTATCTATCTATCTATCTATCTATCTATCTATCTATCTATCTATCTATCTGTCTATCTCCTAATCCTTTGTTTCCTCCAACATCTTCCCAAAGTTTAAAGTTACAGGGATACAAATTCATTACGGAATATTGTGGAATGTATTGTTTTATACAAACTGTACACTGTAAATTGTACACTGTACATTGTACATATAGCTTAAAATATAGATTTACAGTGTACACTGTACACTGATGCAAAGAATAAAAGATAAATAGTATCATTTACCGGAATTGAGTCTTTGCCACTATGACTTTCTAAGTTCTTTATTTTTGCAACCCGGAGTCGTAGACCTTAGATATTTCAAACTATGAATTCTGTGAGATCATAAAATCTAAATTTGAACAATCAAAGATTTACACCGTCAAATTGCAAAGATATAGGGATTAGAAGATTGAGTTCATGGCAAAGACTCAATTCCTTTCGTTGAGTTGAGTCCATCAAATGAATGTTACATTGTACTATGTACAAAATTATAGATTATATACTTTAAAGTATAAAATGGATACTGTAGTGATTACAGCTTGTTTAGAAGCTATTATTCTGAAGTATAAAAAGTAAGATGTTTTATTGTATTATGAGAGGCATCCCCTCCCATCCCTTTAAAATACATCTGGCAAATTTATTTGATACTCTTCATTGCCATGTACCATTGTCATGTACCATTGTCATGTACCATTGCCATGTACCATTGTCATGTACCATTGCCATGTACCATTGTCATGTCATGTACCATTGTCATGTACCATTGCCATGTACCATTGCCATGTACCATTGCCACCACGTCAAACTAAAGTATATTTTATCATAGATCGAACCCATAGATGTTTGTTTTGTTTTTAATCATGGCTCCTGTTTCTGAGCAGTTTAGAAGAAAATAAACATTTAGAATTTTTAATTTGCAACCAAATAAATATATTTCTCTCCTACTTCTCCTATTTCTCTCCGTTGAATTACATTATCAAGGGACCGAGCACATTTTAGAATATTCTGCCGACTTGAAGGTTAATACCGCATTTTAGAGGAAAATGTTCCACCAACGACCCCCCCCCCCCCCCCAAGTAGGGGATTGTACCTACTAGGAGTACTTTTAACACAATACAATGATGTTGAGTAGGCTAAACAGCCTCTAACCGCACTTTTTTTGTCTATTTATACGTTTTATATTTTCTCACCACCCATAGTATCTTTATCTATATATAGCCATATGTCTCTCTCTGTCTATCTAATTTTATTTTTCTAAATTTATCTTAATTTATAATTGTGCTATATTCTGAGATCATGGCTTTGTTTATATCGTGTAGAATACATAATGATTGATATATTCCAGATACTTATATACATTACAGATAGATAGATAGACAATTATAAATATATATATTTAGCTAGATAGACAATTATAAATATATATATTTAGCTAGAAAGACAATCAGATAAGAAAACTAGACCGGAAAAGTTAAGAAAATCTCGAGATGAAAAATAATGAAGAATATGTTTAATAACAATGAAATTTTGAGCGGGAACTCCTACATGTGTTTCTTAGCATCCCCCCCCCCAGCCCCTTACCCGGCCCTGGCTTCTCAATTAACCCCCTCAAATATCCCCCCCCCTCCCCGGAGAATTTTTGATGAATTAAACAAAAGGGAAAAACATAATGACCCAGGGTTAAATGTAATTTACAAAATAAAATAAAATCTATTTTGTTTCTTTTTGAGATTTTCCGTTTAAATGCTAAAGTAGATAATTTCTCTCTGTTTCACAAACGATCACAAACGATCTGTGACTTGTGAGTGGGGGGGGGGGGGGGTTGAAAAAAGACCCCAGCATTGTGAACTGCCAGGCAATCAATCTTTCTAGACTTTTTCTTCAAATCTCTTATCTGTCTCTTTCTATTCTTTTATTCTTTTATTTGAATTAAAGGAGCGGGAAATATGTTACTAAAAGATTGAAATGATTTTATTTTGATAAAGTTTTATCTTGTTTTATGAAACACATCCTCCACTAAAACCCACTATTTCTTGAGCTTCAGTATGCTTAGAAAGCTCAGTTAGAGCGTGCAACGAGCCCGTTAGGATCTGCAATTTTAACCAAGTGTCTTTTTATCCTGTGTCCGAATTTAATGAATTGAAGCCGCGTCTCAAATCCACCAAAAACCGGTTTCAATTGAGCGCCGGCTTAAATCTTGAAAAATTTAATACAAATTTAAGTGGAACCACCGAAATTTAAGCCGCGGTTTTAAAAACTGCGGTTCAAATTCTTTAAATTCGGCCTCTGTTTTGATAACCATGTAGTATGTACATAACATTTTTTCAAGTTATTTTAGATTATATGAATTCAAGTTTAATAAAAAATTAAACTTATTTTGTCAGTCTCCAAGGAACTGTAGTGGATTCTTATATTTAGTGTACTGCAGAAGTTATCGGTTGTTTGTAAACAGATAAAATTTACAGTACAGTTGCAGTGCACGAATTGGGCCTTATCTATAAAAAGGGATGGATTTCTTATAATTATCAGTGTGATTGTAGCTTCGAAGAGCTGTAATATGTTTATTACGGTTATTACCCTGGCTGGGTTGCTAGCTAATTCTCAGGTTAGCTTTGTTTTATATTTTGTGAAATCCTTCACTTAACATCGTTTATAAGTAATCTAAAGAATTTGAATTATTTTATTTTTTTCTGAAGATATGAAATGTTGGAAATTCCTTTAATCAAGTTCTTAATGTTCACTGTTAAATATAATGCGGGTATATTTAGGCTAATCTTAATTTCTAAAATGCCTTTTATTTTTCGAATTGTTGATGATTTTACCAGTGCTGGTTAAAACCTTTTAAAATATGAATGATTCAGTTCTAATTTAATATCTATAAAGTCAGAACTTCAGATCGAATCATTAATAAATGAAATTAAAGAAATTTACGTTGCGATTAGGTTAAATTTTGGAAATTACAATTTCAACAATTTTTGTTACGTTAACAACATAGATCCTGACGCGACGCCTTGATAGAGCTTGCTGTAAAAACTAATTATAAAATCTGTCTAATTTTGTTTTATTCAAGGTACATGGCTTGAACACCTACAATGTCGGTGGCTTCTATGGGCAGGGTGGCGGATATACCTCCTATGGGAAGCTAGGAGGTTATGGTACTCTGGGTAACATAGATTATTCACCTTACGGAACACTAGGAGGCTATGGAACTTATGGAAATAAAAGAGTCTATGGAATGCTTGAAGGCTATAACCCTCATGGAAACAATGCAGGAAGCTATGGAACCAAGAAAGACTCTGGAACTTACGGACAAGGGAGTTATGGATTCCGCGGAAGCCATGTAGGTTATGGATCTTATAGAAACAAAGAAGGCTATGGATTTAACAGTTATGGTAACTCTGCTTATAAACCTAAATACAGGTATAATCCTATTAGATATTAAATATATATAATACTAAGATCAGCCAAGATTTTTTGTCACACCAATTGTGCTATTTATTACAAGGTTGGCCTGCACTTTTTTTCTAAATTCTTTATTTTACTTTAGTGAAGAGAGATGTTGACTCCGAAAACCCGAAGTACAAGAAACCTTCATACAATACTAAAGATGCTGATTACCCAACTACAGATTATAGAACACCTGTTTACCCAACTCCAGACTACAAACCACCTGTTTACCCAACTCCAGATTACAAACCACCTGTTTACCCAACTCCAGATTACAAACCACCTGTTTACCCGACTCCAGATTACAAATCACCTGTTTACCCAACTCCAGACTACACACCACCTGTTTACCCAACTCCAGACTACAAACCACCTGTTTACCCAACTACAGATTACAGAACACCTGTTTACCCAACTCCAGACTACAAACCACCTGTTTACCCAACTCCAGACTACAAACCACCTGATTACCCAACTACAGATTACAGAACACCTGTTTACCCAACTCCAGACTACAAACCACCTGTTTACCCAACTCCAGACTACAAACCACCTGTTTACCCAACTCCAGACTACAAACCACCTGTTTACCCAACTCCTGACTACAAACCACCTGTTTACCCAAATCCAGATTACAAACCACCTGTTTACCCAACTCCAGACTACAAACCACCTGTTTACCCGACTCGAGATTACAAATCACCTGTTTACCCAACTCAAGATTACAAACAACCTGTTTACCCGACTCCAGATTACAAATCACCTGTTTACCCAACTCCAGATTACAAACAATCTGTTTACACAACTCCAGATTACAAATCACCTGTTTACCCAACTCCAGATTACAAACCACCTGTTTACCCAACTCCAGATTACAAAACACCTGTTTACCCAACTCCAGACTACACACCACCTGTTTACCCAACTCCAGACTACAAACCACCTGATTACCCAACTACAGATTACAGAACACCTGTTTACCCAACTCCAGACTACAAACCCAACTCCAGATTACAAACCACCTGTTTACCCAACTCCAGATTACAAACCACCTGTTTACCCAACTCCAGATTACAAACTACCTGTTTACCCAAGTCCAGTTTACAAAACACCTGAATACCCAACTCTAGATTACCAAACACCAGATTACCAAACGCCTGATTACACTAGTCTCTACCCTGCGGATTACCCAACTAGTCCCTACCTTCCAGATTACCCAACTAATCTCTATCCTGTGGATTACCCAACTAGTCCCTACCTTCCAGATTACCCAACTAGTCCCAATCCAGCGGATTACCAAACTAGTCCCTATCCTGTGCATTACCCAACTAGTACCTACCCTGCGGATTACCCAACTAGTCCCTACCCTGCGGATTACCAAAATAGTCTCTATCCTGCGGATTACCCAACTAGTCTCTACCCGGCGGATTACCAAACTAGTCCCTATCCTGCGGATTACCCAACTAATCCCTACCCTGCGGATTACCTAACTAGTCCCTACCATGCGGATTACCAAACTAGTCTCTATCCTGCGGATTACCCAACTAGTCCCTATCCTACGGATTACCCAACTAGTCCCTACCCTGCGGATTACCAAACTAGTCTCTACCCTGCGGATTACCAAACTAGTCCCTATCCTGCGGATTACCCAACCAGTCCCTATCCTGCGGATTACCCAACCAGTCCCTATCCTGCGGATTACCCAAATAGTCTCTATCCTGCGGATTACCAAACTAGTCCCTACCCGGAGGATTACCCAACCAGTCACTTTCCTGGGTATATAATCGAGGACTACCCGGGGGCAAAGTATCCTGGTTATAAAGTCAGTTATTAATCTTAACTCTAATCATTGATTATTTTTATGTATTATGAATAAATTTTATCATGTTTTAATTTATTGCTGTTTTGACAGGAATACAATTCTGGGAACTAGTAAATAAGGAAAAGAAAAATCTAGATAAAACATTTTTGTCAGAAGATCTGGAGTACTGTATTTTTGCGAAAAAAAAGATATTGAAGGAAAGTTTGAGAATTTTAACGAATTTTGCGAAAATTTCGAACAAATTTCGCAAATTTTAACTAAAATATTTGCGGAAATAAACGCAAATTTTCGTTTTCATTCACATTTTTGTTGTCTGAACGAAATTTTCACGAAAGAGTTTTAACGAAAATTTGACAACTCTATATCCAGTGCGAGCACATTTAGAAAGAGATTGAACGAAAATTTGGCAACTCTATATCCCGTGCGAGCACATTTTGAAAGAGATTGAACGAAAATTTGGCAACTCTGTATCCAGTGCGAGCACATTTAGAAAGAGTTTGAACGAAAATTTGGCAACTCTATATCCAGTGCGAGCACATTTTGAAAGAGATTGAACGAAAATTTGGCATCTCTGTATCCAGGACGAGCACATTTAGAAAGAGATTGAACGAAAATTTGGCAACTCTATATCCCGTGCGAGCACATTTAGAAAGTGTCCTTGTAGATGGAGCAACGGAATCAAAATTAATAAGGTTTTGTCCACTCTAAATTTAGTTTCATCGCAAAAATTTATAATTTGGAAGTTGTCAGTTGGAAAAATTAGCTATATACTTTTAGTGTTTATTCAAAATGTTCTATCTATGAATTTCTTTTTCTATGAAATGTCCTGTCTATCAAAATGAAAGTGTTTAATTCTGTATCTGCGGAAATATGCGCAATTATGCTCAGTAAATGAAGCGCCACTTATTTCTGCAGTCATTTAAATATTTTAGCCTAGGTAAATAAAATGTTCTTCACAGATAGTTTAAATTACGTACGATAGGTCAAGCGAGGTTATAGTATATAGAGTAATGATGTACGCTAATCCTTTACTAATTGTGCAGGCCATGTACTTTACTTCCAAAGGTCAATCTGTATATTACAGTACTCGGGGGTGATTTCTGAAAATATTTAAATGGAGAATTTGTTTTCCATGTAACTATTAACATCCACTACCACTGTCCATGATGTCATTTTCACAGGAAGACAAACTATTACAGTCTTTTACAGAGCAATATTTCATCGTTAATAAACTGTTCTGAGAAAACTGAGTAAAAGTCAAGATACAAAACCTCCCCATACACTTGTACTCCGAAAGCGTACTGCATATTTGATGTGTGTACTGTATGAATAGGCCATAATCTTTTAATATCCTTTATTAGTAAACTATCCCAATTGTACACTCAGGCCAATACACACGGAGAGGTAGCTATAGAGACCCACTGAATCTTTAAACTGATAGTTTAGTGAGACCCACTGAATCTTTAAACTAATAGTTTAGTGAGACCCACTGAATCTTTAAACTAATAGTTTAGTGAGACCCCCTGAATCTTTAAAATGATAGTTTAGTGAGACCCACAGAATCTTTAATCTGAGAGTTTAGTGTGACCCACTGAAATCTTTAAACTAATAGTTTAGTGAGACACCATCTGAATCTTTAAACTGATAGTTTAGTGAGACCAACTGAATCTTTAAACTAATAGTTTAGTGAGATCCACTGAATCTTTAATCTAATAGTTTAGCGAGACACCCTTTGAATCTTTAAACTGATAGTTTAGTGAGACCCACTGAATCGTTAAACTAATGGTTTAGTGAGATCCACTGAATCTTTAAACCGATAGTTTAGTGAGACCCAATAGAATCTTTAAACTGATAGTTTAGTGAGACCCACTGAATCTTTAAACTAATAGTTTAGTGAGACCCACTGAATCTTTAAACTAATAGTTTAGAGATCCACTGAATCTTTAAACTAATAGTTTAGTGAGACACCCTCTGAATCTTTAAACTAATAGTTTAGAGACCCACTGAATCTTTAAACTGATAGTTTAGTGAGGCCCACTGAATCTTTAAACTGATAGTTTAGTGAGACACCATCTGAATCTTTAAACTGATAGTTTAGTGAGACACCATCTGAATCTTTAAACTGATAGTTTAGTGAGACCCACTGAATCTTTAAAATGATAGTTTAGTGAGACACCCTCTGAAACACACTGAGTCTTTGAACTGATACATATTTAAGTTGCAAAACTCTTTCCCCTCAAATTTTTTAAATATTTAAAATTTTAATCTCTTTAACTAAAAAATCAGGTTCTTTAATTTTTTCATTAATTGATCAACCCAATTCCTTACGCCTCTAATTTATTCTTATGTAATAAAATAATCAAACAAGTACAGAATTTCATGGCTTTAATTCATTTATTTCAACCTTTTTTGTTCATACAATGGATAGAAAACAAATAATTGTTTGAAAATCAATAATATTGTGAAAAACATCTCGAGCTGTTGATAAAGATTTTAGAGATAACTGTTCTTCTTCTACAAAGGAAAGGAAAATAAAACTTCAACATTTTGTTATATTTATTTATTATTTATATTTACGGTGGGAACAGGACGAACCATATCAAAATATTAACCAATCGGCATTAATTGTGTCTCTCTCCTCCAATGTTCCTGTAAAAAGAACCAATTTTTAAAACAGCTTTCATGGCGATTTTTTCACAGATTTTCAAGAATATAGTTCTTTATACACAAACATCGCAAAGAAATAAAAGTGCTGACACTTAAAAACGAATTTTATTTTGAATTTAATTGAGTTATAAGAAATCAACACAAGTCTGATCAAACTGTTCAAAATTAAACTGGAGCTGATTCAACCACTACAACAATATACATGATAATAATGCTATTTTAGAGAAGGATGGGAGGGATAGGGTTAGTGTACATATTTTTGTACTTTGTTTATAAACTACAAGTTACACCGGTCATATAATTTCATGATAAAATCTCTCTTTTTAATCTGATTAGATCAAGCGACTCACTGATCCCCAGATTATCAAGAGCTTCTTTAGTCTTTGTCAGATCTTCTATATTCTTAATACCAAGGCTTTCCAGTGCGTCTTTAGTTTTAGATAAGTCCTCATTGTTTTTAACTCCAAGATTATCCAAATCCATTTTTATTTTAATCAGGCTTTCTGCATCCGTGATTCCAAGAGTGTTTAACGCCTTGGTTATTTTGATAAGATCAAAAGCTTCCTTGATTTGTCTGAGATCTACAATCTTCTCCACCAAGGTTTCCATCTGTAAACCTGTACAAGGTTTGGAAACTTTTCCTTGGGAACCAGTGAGTCCATAGCTCCCAGGTGATCCCCAACCATGATAGTTTCTATAAGATCCATGAACATCATGATTTCCAGAAGATCCATAGCTGATCTGGGTTTCAGGAGTCTCAGGGCACTCCTGTTTGGCATAGCCTCCGCCTTGGTTTCCATTAGATGCATAGCCTCCGCCTTGGTGTCCATGATATGCATATCCTCCGCCTTGGTTTCCATGAGATGCGTCTCCTCCGCCTTGGTTTCCATTAGATGCATAGCCTCCGCCTTGGTGTCCATGATATGCATATCCTCCGCCTTGGTTTCCATGAGATGCATATCCTCCCCCTTGGTTTCCATGGGATGCATATCCTCCCCCTTGGTTTCCACAAGATGCGTATCCTCCACCTTGGTTTCCATAATATGCGTAGCCTCCGCCTTGATTTCCATAATATACATAGCCTCCATTTTGGTTTCCATGCGATGCATAGCCTCCGCCTTGGTTTCTATGAGATGCACAGGCTCCATTTTGGTTTCCTTGCAATGTATATCCTAGATCTTGGTTACCAAGAGATGCATAGCCTCCGCCTTGGTTTCCATAAGATGTGAAGCCTCCGCCCTGGTTTCCATAAGATGCATAGCCTCCGCCTTGGTTTCCAGAGTATGCATAGCCTCCGCCTTGATTACCATAGGATGCATAGCCTCCGCCTTGATTAGCATAGGATGCATAGCCTCCGCCTTGATTACCATAGGATGCATAGCCTCCGCCTTGATTACCATAGGATGCATAGCCTCCGCCTTGAATACCATAGGATGCATAGTCTCCGCCTTGATTACCATAGGATGCATAGCCTCCGCCTTGATTACCATAGGATGCATAGCCTCCGCCTTGATTACCATAGGATGTATAGCCTCCGACTTGGTTGCCAAGATATCCATAGCCATTTAAGGTATCAAATTTATCATTTCCCTGAAGAAAAAAAATTTTAAAATGTTTTCCAAATTCAATTTGAAGATAATTTCTGCTTTATTCACTCGATTATTCATTTATTCATAGATTCAGTTCTACAAGTAATTCCGAACCCCCCCCCCCCTCCATTTTGAAAATATGAAGATTTAAAATTTCAACTTACAAGAAAGAGTGTTTGCAACAATGAAACGAAATGCTCTTGTTCAACGGATTTTAATCTAAATTTTCTTTCTGTATAAGTATCTTCATCATACAGGGTGTCACCAAAAACGTCTGTTTGTTTATTGGTGTTATTCCGGAAAAAACGTCGAATCGGCTGAACCGATCAGGCCCAAATTTGTTATGGTAACTGAACCCCATGGAAGGTTTAAAAGAAAATTGCCAGAAAAGATTAATATTAATTAAGCTTTTGATAATCCACCCTTAAAACAGAGAAATCTTCCAACTTTCTTTTGATTTAATGATTTACGATGAAAAATCGGCACTATTTAAAAGCTACGGTGCGTCCTCTACTCAGTCTATGAGTAATTAAAAAATTCGGAAAGTTCGGAAAAAATTCTTTAAACTATGGTTAAACCACATACCAGAGTACTAACAGTTAACTTGAGGATTAGATAAAGGAAGAGGATGAACATGAAAATGATTGTGTTCTCCTCAAAGATGCAAATAACTGATTGAAGTCTAAACTAAGTTCCGTTTTATAATCTGTACTGCAACCGTACTGCTTGATGACAATTTTTTTGCAGTACGCATATTTTATTTAATATTAATATTAAATAAAGAAGTCTGATCTTCACTATGTTTGTTTACATTTCTTCCAGAGACTGCAGTACACTTAGTTTGTCCTGGTCAAGAAATATATAGACCAGGAACCGCCATATCTGTTGCGTAAAATCTGTGTACTGCAGTGGGAGGAGATCAAAACAAAGAATTCAGGGGCAACGCATCCTTTTTGAGGGGAAAGGGCCCAAGGGGTGGAATAAGAATATATTTCTATTGTATTTTCAATATTGACCAGAAAGCCAAAAATCATAAGTATTCGCTCTAACTTGATATATTTATAACTTGTTTTTTGTTGGACTGTAATATCACATCAGAGCTGTAGTCCTTTCCCTTCAACTTCCGTGGGAGCACGGGGTTTGTTTACATTCCTCCCACAGTGTACAGTACATAATATGCGTATATCTACGTTGGGTGTTCCTGTATATAGTTCCTTGATCCTGGTCTATTCCTAGGGCCGGGGCGGAAACGTAATGTATTTGTGTCTGTACCAAAAGAGTGTGTTTAATTAATAAGGAATTGAAGGCGTGTTCTGTAGGTATATACAGTACATAAGAATCTCGGCATTTGTACAGTCTAGGATAGTACATTTGTTTTTTGATAATTGTTTACTTAAAAATAAGTTTAGTATACATGTAGTATATTATTTATATATTTAAGCCAACACTATACGCCAAATTGTCATGCAATGAATATAATTTGATTAAAGTTTACAATAAACTATTCATTATTAAAGTTTAATTATAATTGACGACATTGTTCTGCAACTTTCTTGACTGTATTCATGTTGTGTGTCATGTACCAAAAGAGTGTGCGTGTGTGATAACGAACTCGTCTGCAAAGCATTGCGTCTGGCTCTATCATGCCAGATTAGCGTCATTGCCTTTCCCGTTATTCTTATTCCCTGTATATTCCTTGATTTAAAGACTCATGTTCCCGTAATGTCAAATAGTGAAAATATTGGATATTTGCGAGTATTAAAATGATGTTGAAGATTAATTTCGTTGCTTTCCACGCGCCGGTCTTGAACCAAAAAGCTGTGTCAATACATGCACACACTATGTAGTAACACAGTACGATATTCTAATTGACCATTTCCACCCCCACCCCCCTTCAAGTGGAAGGTATCATCGTTTTTCAATGCTTAAAAGTGTTTATTTCTGACAATTCCTATATGTTTTCGTGCAGTAGAAATGTGTAAATCACTTTCGTAGAGAACCCCGAGTTGAATATAAAGATGTTAGGTACTTTCCCAAAGGATTTTTCCCAAGTGGCAACTTCCCAAATGTGCAATTTTCTCAAGCGGCAACTTCCAAAGTTTGTCCTGGCTCAGCTACATTTTGCCTAGTCACAATTTGCCTAGTTCACTTTTGCCTAGGTAACATTTTGCCCAGGTAACTTTTTGCCTAGTTCAAGTTTGCCTAGTAACATTTTGCCTAGGTAACGCAAGAGCATGTTTTTTGCCTAGTCAATAATCTTTTATAAAAAAAACATTTTGTCAAGAATTAAACATTTTTTTAAAAGTTTAACCAGATAAATTTTAATGAATTAAAATTAATGAATTGAATTGTATTCTGCACAGCAATTTTAACATTCCTGTCACTCTACAAAAGATAAAATATGGTTATGCATCAGATATATATATATATATTTTTTAAATACATTTTACATAATCATGGAGTATACATAGGAATTAATACAGGTGATCTTTATTTATCATTATTTATCTTCTGCTGGTCATATGCAAGGGTTTGGATATAATCAGCTTTCGGCATGGTATGAAAAGCTTCTACAACAAATTTCACCTACTGTCTGGAGTCCTTTGAACTAGGCAAAATGTGACTAAGCAAAATGTGACTAGGCAAATTGTGACTAGGCAAAATGTAGCTGAGCCTTTGTCCTAGCCGCAGAGCTCGGCCTGTTCTACCCTTGGGAAGTTTCCACTTGGGAAACATCCTTTGAGAAAGTACCTAAAATCATAAACAGTTTTCAAAACTGTAAACATTAATATCCATTATCCAAATCATACTTGATATTGACAAATCTTGAAAGTACTCAAACAGTCTCTTTCAACGATAATCATTGATAGTATCGTAAAACGGCAAGTGATATACTGTGTAAGGCTGCTAGACAACTTTAAAAAATAAAAACAAAATGGAGTAAATCTTTGCAAACAGGTTTCTGAGAGTCTTATTTTTAATGATGTTTTGCAGGGTAAAGGCGAAGAATTTTGTTATTTATACTAATGTTAATAGTTTAAAATGAAACGTTGTAAAATAAATTTAAAGGAGGAGGGAAGGGGGTAGTTTGTGGTTTTATTTTCTAGAACTTCAATTCAATTGTTAAACAAAGAACAAAAAGTTGAACCCGGGACAAAACATTTCATTTATATTTAAAAACCTAAATCAGTTGAAATAAAAAATTAAAGCAAAACAAGCTGAGAGGGTAAATAACATAAATAAGTTAAGATTTATATCTAAAGAAACAAATAATAAGCTAAGAAACAATATTGAAATAAGACCGTTGGCAGTTTTGAAAATAAAATCATGAAGATCATTACTGAAAAATGATGCACAATATAGAATGGTGATCACTGATCAATGCAGAGAGAAGATCAATGCAGCAAGTTATTCAATGCAGAGAGAAGATCAATGCATAGAAAAAATCTATGCAGAAAGATGATCAATGCAGAAAGGAGATAAAGGAATTGAGTCTTTGCTTCATACTCAAATTTTCTAAACCTTATATCTTTGCAAAATAATGGTGCAAATCTTTGATATTTCACACTTGGATTATTAGAGTTCATAGTTTGAAATATCTATGGTCTGCGACATTGGATTGAAAAGATATAGTGATTGGAAAATCAGAGTTTGTGGCAAAGACTCAATTCCTTTAGAGAGAAGATCAAAGAAGATAGAAGATCAATGAAAATAGAAGATCAATGAAAATAGAAGATCAATTCAGAGAGAAGATCGATGCAGAGAGAAGATCAATGCAGAAAGTTGATCAATGCAGAGAGAAGATAATTTGAGAGAAGATCAATGCAGAGATAGGATCAATACAGAGAGAAGATCAATGCAGATTAAAGATTAATGTAGAAAGTTGATCAATGCAGAGAGAAGATAATTCATAGAGAAGATCAATGAAGAGAGAGGATCAATGCAGAAAGATTATCAATGGAGCGAGAAGATCAATCAGAGAGAGAAGATCATTGAAGAGAGAAGATCAATGAAGAGAAATGAATGAGAAACGAAAAAGAAATGAATAAGAAATGAATAAGAAATGAAAAAGAAATGAATAAGAAATGAATAAGAAATGAATAAGAAATGAATAAGAAATGAATAAGAAATGAATAAGAAATGAATAAGAAATGAATAAGAAATGAAAAAGAAATGAATAAGAAATGAATAAGAAATGAAAAAGAAATGAATTAGAAATGAATAAGAAATGAATAAGAAATGAATAAGAAATGAATAAGAAATGAATAAGAAATGGATAAGAAATGAATAAGAAATGAATAAGAAATGAATGAGAAACGAAAAAGAAATGAATAAGAAATGAAGAGAACTTTAAGTTGAAGTAGGATAGCTTCCGTCAACAAAGGCGCTTTTGTATAGAATTCAAACATTTTTATTGTAACTATTTGACCGTGTAGAGCGAGAAAGAGAGATTGTTGAAAGGCTTAATTCAAAATCACAATTTTACAGGGTTCAACAATCATCGCAAAATTTTGACGAAATTCAGAAAATAAACGTAAAAAAACAAGCTTATACAATACTTCACATTTTTGGCGAAATCCCCAACCCCTCTCTTTACCCCTGGGTTCATGAATGAATATAATATTTCCAGTTGGATGGAGCTCATACAAAGCCAGAAATAATACATTCACAATTGAAGGGGTTCGTCAATAGACAAGATATTATAACAGTCAACACTTTTTCTAAAATCCGAGATTAGTCTCTTGTTTAATGTTTATGTATTCCCCCGATTTACGCAAAAGTTCGTTAATTAGACCGACCCCCCACAACCACTCTATACACAGACATCTAAACAGTTTGTTTTTAATCTTTGTGACAGAAACAATTTCAAGGAATAATAATTGTCTTAAAACATTTTTTTAAAAGTGAATATTTGCAAATTATCTTTTTTCCATCTCATAATCTTAGTTCGTTTCCCTTATGTCCATTTGACAGCCCTAAATTTTTATTTTGAATAATCTTTTTTGTTTGTTTATCTTCTTGTGATTTTTTACAAATTTTTAAAAATTTTTTTATCGATTTTGATGGTTATTATATCGTTAGAACTGACGAGGGTCAACCCAGACCGAAATATATTTTCAATAAATGTGGAACTGTCCAATGTAATATGTTTCCTGTCTAAAAGAGTCCTCTGTTCCTAAAACGAGGTATTGCCTTGAAATCCAGCCCTGAGCCGGAAATTAAAGAGATGATTTAGAAACCAACCCGTTTGGGAATAAAGATATTAATCTTATGAACAAAGATGGCAGGAACATTACCGTTTAAGTATGATCGGATAAAAGAATATTTATAAACAAAAATGATTTATGATTTTATTTTTAGAATTTTTCATAAAACTTAGTTTCTAATTCCGGGGTTCAAATTTAATGAATTTGAGCTAGGTCACTGAACTGCCTACCACGGCAGCGGTTCAAATCCATAAATTATGTTTTTGTATTTTTAAAAACATTTTTATATATTTGGCGACAATAAGGTCAACATATTAATAGTTTGTTATATGTACAATATGTAATATCAAGTTTTCGTGTTAAATCTATTTATATTTCTGCCTGTTTCCAGTTGTACCTATATTCATAATAATACTAATCGTTTTTTAAATACTTAATTATTTAATTTGATCATTTTAACACTTGTCTCTACACGATACCTT